GCCGGGGTTAAACAGTATGTGGGTGTGGGGGTCTGCGACCGCACCTCAGCCTGGGGCCCCCACGGCTCGAACGGGGGACTTCCAGCCAAGTCGCGTCTCGCTGTCCCCGGAACGGATGGGCGAACGGGCTTCAGTCACACTGGGCCGGGGATAAATTACGGATGCGATCGATCAAAATGTTTCCGTTGTCACTGTAAATCTGCACCCATCGCTACTAGGAGATATAAAAAAAAACATCCCAAGAACCAGACATACACGACCTTGGAGGGAGTGTGGTGCTGAAATCGCCATACGGCCTACGAGGTGGGGGGCAAGGATGCCGCTTTCAGGGGGTGTCTCTTTCACAGGGAGTCCCCCCCCCCCCCCCCGGGCTGGTGCAGATGGGGAGGGGGGAGGCATGCATGGTAAATGCCGGGCCCATCCTGCTACTCCAGCAGATGTAAAAGTTATCATCTGAGGTGATTTGAAAAGGAAGGCCAAGCTTAGTGGGGGTGTCGTCTACACCCAGATCACTATGCTTGTTCCTGCCCCCCCCCCAACCGTGTACAGCACTGAGATGCCAAATTGGATCAGGTAGACACTGCACACAGTCGCAGAGGAAAGGGCCGGGCCTCAGGTTCCGGGCTGAACAAAGCCGGTCCGTTCATGCTCACTTCCCTAAAGGATTAGGGACACTCAAGGGCGGATTCACGGATCCCGGAACTCTCCGGCCCGACTGTCGCGAGCGGGACTCTTGCCTCAGATAGAAAGCGAGCATCCTGTTAAACAGCACCCTGATCTGGGGTGGGGGGTCCCCAAAATCCGAAGCCCATCCGGGCAGACCCCTGGGGACGGAACCCCTTCACGGAGAGACGAACCAGCACGTACCTTGGAGCAGATTTCGTGAAGACTGGTGGCGATGGCTTTGGCTGGGGTGTCACATCGGAACACATGACATTTTAGAATGCGGGTGTCTCTGTCCCTGGCTACGTAGGCGAAGTCCCTGGAGGAAGAAGAGAACACTCAGAGGAGGTGCTGTTCTTTAGATCGAAACGCTGGTGTGTTACGTGTTTCTCTGTTTTACCCTGAAATCAACCGGAATATTTAAGCATCACGTCACCAGACAGGTTTTTTTGGCAGATACTGGGCCTATCGTAGCTGAACTCATCGCATCTTAATTCCTGCAGCTCCCATAAGCACCTCCGGGTGGCAGACATGCCCTGGTGCATTGTGGGATGCTGGACGTCTCAGCGGCTCTGACGCCTGGTGTCATGAGAGCGATGTCCTTGAGTTTCCGTGCCAGAGGTTGGCTCTCTGAGCACCATGTGATCTCCCTGAATGATGGATTCCCTCCTCACTCTGCCGCAGATCATGAATAAATACGGGCGGCAAATAAAACACGCTCATCTGAGCCCCGGCACCCCTCCCAAGGCAGACAGGAGACACGGTGAACCGCAGCACACTCTGCTGTCTTGTGCGGCCAACGGAGACGGCACAGGGACAGCAACGGGGCAGGAGGCAGGTCTGTACAGTGGCAGTTAGTATAAACGGCGACAGGGAGCAAGAGCCGGTGAAGCAGGACAATGGACGGCATGGACAGGACAGCGAACGGGACGATGATGTCACAGGCAAAATGTAAGGAGGACAAAATAAAGGGTCTTTACCTCTCTCTGAGTCCAGGAAAGCGGGAGAAAGAAGAAGAGAAAACGAGAGTCAGTGAGAGGGCCACGGGTGCAGCCCGAGGTGGCAGGTGGACCCCAACTCAGGGCACATAGCCCCCCCCCCTCCCCCTCCAAGCAGCCGAAGCCGCCATCTGTGTTTGATTAGCCTCGATTCGCTTAAATGTGATGTGGGGGGACGGGACAGAATGAGAGGGACACTCAAGGTTAATTACAGAATCGCAGCTCATCGGCGGAAAAACGCGGAGAGGACGGGTGGGGGTGTAATTAAAGAATACGGCCGACTTCGACCGTATGGGCCATGGCGACGGGGGGGGGGGGCACGAGTGTCTGCTTACTTGTAAGGGGAGATTAGTGCTATATCACCTGTCACCTGTACCACTCCTATCCTAACGGCATTAAAGATCCTGCTGTACATACCTGTACCCCCCCCCAAACCCCACCCCCACGTCCTAAAGCAGAGACACAGACAGTAACAAGGGCCAGGCTGCAAGGCATCCCCCCCCCTTTGGGTGCCCCAGGGGGCAGACTGTGGCCATGTGGCAGTGGAGGTGCACCACCTGTGCCCTTATTAGCCCCCTGCCCCCCCCCCCCCACACACACACACCCGCTAGTGCTTCACGAGGGGAGGCAGTAGAGCCAATCTTGGTCATGTGCGCCGGCTGAACCCCAAATGGCATTCCCGATAACTGGGGATCAGGCATCAATGTCAGCCCGTCGGGGGGGTGGGGGGTGGCCAGCTCGGGTTGGGTCTGTTCAGCGAGCACAGGCAGGGGGGGCGCCGTGGCTCACAGCATGTGGGGGGAAAGAGGCCACCTGCCTACGGAGACGCTAACGGGAATGTCTCTGCATCTGGCCCACCGCCATGCTCTGCTTTCGTGTCGCAGATGATCCATCGCAGAGAGAGAGAGGGAGGGAGAGAGAGAGAGAGCCCCCTGCTTTGGAAAGGGGCCATATTAGCCCCTGGGACGCACTCAATTCAAGCATCCCAGCCCTCGTCAGGCTCTCATTAAACGCCCGTGCAGCTGTCGTCTCTGTTTACACGCTGAAGTAGGCTCGCGCAGCAACAACAAATACGAGCCCATTTACGGGGTCAGCAAAATCTGATAATCAAATCATCCAAAGACGTAGAGGCCCTGTCGGGTGTAAGGCACACGGACGTCAAAGGCTGCAGAACAATCATCCATCAGGAGCGATGAAAGTAAGAGGAGTCAGTCAGTGGGCCATGTAATGTCATCCCACCGAGCTCACTGACCCGAGCGGCCCGCAGCCACCGTTGGGGGGAGGGACGGTATCACTCGGCACGCGCGCCTCTCCAGCAAGATCACGCACGCTTGCTCATCGGTGCCTGCAGAGTCCCTATGGGGTATCGATCTGGTCCGGCTGGGGCCCCAAATGTCACGAAGACACCCCCTCTTCTCGTAGCAGAGATAAATGGACTACTAATATCACTCGGCAGTGATTCTGCCTAGCGTCACTGACTATCACAGCTAGCGCCTGGCTAACAACCTGGTATCGTCGCTAACGGCTGCCCTGTGTCACTGGCTAACAGTGCTACCATCTGGCTAGTATTCCCTAGCACTACCACTAGCGGCTGCCTCGTGTCACTTACTATCAGTGCTAGTGCCTGTGTAATACTACCTGATATAATGCTAATGGCTGCCCCATGTCACTGGCTATCAGCACTAGCGCCTGGCTAATATTACCTGGTATGGCGGCTAGCGACTGCCCCATGTCACTGGCTATCAGCACTAGCGCCTGGCTAATATTACCTGGTATGGCGGCTAGCGACTGCCCCATGTCACTGGCTATCAGCACTAGCGCCTGGCTAATATTACCTGGTATGGCGGCTAGCGACTGCCCCATGTCACTGGCTATCAGCACTAGCGCCTGGCTAATATTACCTGGTATCGCGGCTAGCGGCTTCTCCGTGCCACTGGCTATTAGCGCCACATGACTACATGAGACTACGGGGCTTGGCAGAAGGAAAAGCGCGTGTGCACACACACACACACACACACACACACACACACACACACACACACAGAGGTCATTATTCATCGGAGCGAAGCTCACTGGGCCTTTGGATTACAGCCAAATTAGTCTCTCACTAGAGAACCCTTCTAAGGATCAAGCTTGTGTTTGGACAAGTGGATAAAATTTAAGGCAAAATACGGGATCGTATCTGCGTCCCTCATTTGCAAACTCACATCGCCTGCAAACGAAGTGGCCAAACAGTTAAACAAAAGCGCACGATGGTATGTGTCACTGAAACCTCACCGGGATAAAATTAAAATAAGCACGTCAAACTCACGCTCCATGATCCACATCCATCCTAGCTCAGGTGCTGCTTGCCCATTTAGAATCGCAGCAGGGATGTCCCACAATGCACAGGGCCAGCAACACCAACTGTTCATTTAGGCTGCTAACTAATGAAGACTAAGTGAATCATTCTCTGGGTGAATGTGTGCGCGTTTTATCAGTCATTAAGGAAAAGGGAGAGCATGAATAAACATCCCTGCAAGCTGGACCAGGATAAGAAGATGTTACAAGATGGATGGATGCGGCAGTAAACAAATAAGCAATTAATGTGGATGTGTTCATTAGCACCCAGAGTTCAATCACGGTTCATGAAATCAAATGTCAGGCTGCTCACAGCAAACGCTCATTTCTTAAAATTTGTACAATGTGAATTGGGCCATCTTGCTCATTTGACTTCCTCTGCCGGCCCCTGGAGGATGGGCCCCCCCTTTGAGTTTCTTCCTCAAAGGTTTCTTCCTTCTAGGGAGTTTTTCCTTGCCACTGTCGCCTCTGGCTTGCTGTCTGGGGGCTTTGGGCAGGTATAATGTAAAGCGCTTTGAGACAATGTAATGTTGCGAAAATGCTTTACAAATAAAATTCAATTGAACCGAATTGAATATCAGGGCAGCTCAGGTTGCTAAGTGAAGGCAATCCAGTGCAGTAGGTGTGCATGGGCACTAGGGGTCAGCACTCCTCAGGGAGCTGGGCTGAAACGCTCCGTGTTTTCGTACCATCCTCGCTCGTCTCCCACAATCGGCTGGTTCTGAGGAGGCCGCTTTGCCTCGGGGCCCCGAGAATCCCACATGCGGCATGTAGCCGGATGCTGCGTGTGAAAAAGCGCCCGGCTCGCTCTACTCAGCGCATAGGCGTCCCTCACTTCACGCACCAAATCCACCACTGACATCCATGAAACACTGGTTCTTTCAAAGCAAAGTCAACGCTGTTAATCCTTTCGGAACGGTAAACAACTCATAACCAGCTGCCTCTGTGAGCTCAAGGATAACAATTATTTCCTTGTTACTTCCTGTCACAAGATTTATGGGATAACTGAGGCATGCAGGGAGGATGTATGTCTTTAGAGACACGGGCTCTCTGAAGGACGCCATCAGTTACCCGCTGACAGAAAATGGCAGCGAAACAAAACTAAGGAGAGCAGCTGCAGAGTCCCTGGGACGGCCTGAGCTGCGTTTCTCCACAGCTTCGGTAAAACACCAGCTGGCTCTGACAGGTTTAATAATCAAAGATGCGGGAAAGTGGCAGGAGGAGCCTCACTGTTAGAGTTCAGCTCGGGCTGTGGCATAACTCCCTGCGCGAAGCTACGCTAAAACTGCTATACGCCAACAGTGCTACACGCTAACGGCGCGACACGCTAACGACCCGACATGCTAACGCTGGCCAATGGGGACAGTGACAGGGGGAGGGTCTGCAACAGGCAACGGTTCAGGAGGCGAGACCTTGGCCGGGGGGCCGAGACTGGATGCGCCGGGCAGGTTAAGGGCCGCCGGTGGCAGAGGGCTGGTAACAGGGCGAAAGGCTCTGGGACCAATCACAGAGCAGGGCCGGTTTGCTCCCCAGTCACAGAGGAAAGAAGAAAAAAAGTGGCGGCCGCTGGGGGAGGGGTGACAAGAGGCTGACGGAGATTAAGAGGGGGGCGGGTGTGCCTCAGCCTCCGGTCTCACAACGGGTGGGGTGTGAAAGTGACAGAAGCGGCAGCCAGCACTGCCTGTATGGCCTGGCGTGGGACGCCTGACGCGCACACGTGAGAAAAGCCACAAGCTTCCGACACCTCCAGCAGCAACTGCAGCTGAACAAATATGCCGCTTCACCCGCATCCAGTCGCAGGTCGGTTACAACCGCAGACGTAAACTGGAGCCCATCCTCCGTGCTGCAGAGACCACAGCCGCCCACTGACCCGAGAGTCCGGCGGTAACCATGCATGAGATGTGAATAAATTTAAATACATAAAAATAGCGATTGAGGTTCGCCTAGAAGTGCCTGATACCCGCGAGCCCCGTCCAAAAGGCTCTCGTTTCCACGGACACGTGTCAGACACATTCGGCATGCTCTGGGCGTGATGCAGCCCGCTGACTCGTCACCCTGGTCAGCCCTCAAAACCCCCGCCAAATTTGTGGGCAGTCCGGCACAGGGACAGAGCGGCGTGCTCTATGCACGACAGCCAGCGGTTCAGAGACCCCGGCGCTCAGACAGATCCCCCCTCCTCTACCCCGCCGGCATGCAGCGTACTCACCGCACCGGCTGCGTGCCCGTGTCCGCCGCTTCTCCGCCGGCCCACGCGTGCGCCTCTTCTCCTCCTCTTACCCCCCTCTGTTCCCCTCTCCTCCCCCGCCCCCCCCTTTCCCTGTTCCTGCCCTGGAAGACTCCTCAAAGCTGACCCCCGTGTCCTAAGCCCTGAGAGCTCCGAGCATCTGACTCCGCCGAGTGAGGGTAGGAAAGAGCGGCAGGCGGAGGACGAGAGGAGAAAGGAATAGAGAGAGAGAGAGAGAGAGAGAGAGAGAGAGAGAGAGAGAGAGAGAGAGAGAGAGAGGGAGAGGGAACGCTAGTGCAGGAGAGACGGGGTGTGGGGTCTTTAAGGAATGTGTGTCAGCTGAACACAAAGAGACACAGACACGCAGGATCACAGACACGCGTGCACAGACACACACGCACAGCTCACACACAAATAGAAGCTCACCGCTTCCCCCCCACGACTCAGCCAGCCAATGAGAAGAGCTTCTGCCGTGACCCCGAGGCTGAGGTGACCTGTCGCTGGGCCCCTGATGGCCTGCATTGTTCTACAGTTAGAGGAGTGGACACATGGAGCCCCCTCCCCCTCACTTACTCCCCCCCACCCCCCCGACAGCAGTAGTAGGGCCTGGGCACTGAGCAGGGTGGCCTTACCGTCCGGGTGCACTGGTCGAACCTCAGATCCACCCCTAAAGCTGGTCTCATGTCTCAGGTGGGTCCTTTCTGCCTACCATATGACCCACACCTGTACCATGTGACCCACCTGTACCATGTGACCAGAGCTTATTCCGGGAAAAAAAAAGCTTGTTGCCACAGTAACACAGCGCCAGGTCAGAAAAACTGAGAAGTCCAGGTCCTCATTGCACTGTGGGGGATGGAGGGACTCTTTCAAGGGGTGACATCACTGTGGCAGACTTATTAACCATCTGGCCTGGGCACTAATCACAGCTGGGGAGGGGTGGGGGGCTTTAAATGCTCCTTGCTTATTTGCTCACCATCACCCCCTGCAGGGTTTTTTAGCAACACGAATCCTTAGGATGCGATCCGCCCCAGGTCTGTGACCCACGGAGTGACCATGTATCGTTCACGCGTGTTAAATGCGTCCAGTGGGCATGTGAATCTCTCACACAGAGTTTAATATGTTACCTCGGCGGGACATCAAACTGAAGGTGAATTCCCCCCCCCAACGCGTCGGGCCATATTGACTGTAATATAGTGGCACAAAGAAAAACAGTAGAACCCAGGACGAGCATAACATGTGGAACGGATGTTGTATCCAAACATAAAAGCCCAGTTGTATGTATAGTAAATAGTTACCAGGAGCGCCCCCTGGTGTACACAACCCTGTACTGCACACCGCACTACAGCAAAGGCTGCAGGCTAAAACAAGGCTACAGTTACAGTCCCTCCTTTGAGCGACCAGACTCCGGGGCCCGGAGCCATACTTTACAGGTCAGAACCCCCCAAGGGGGTGTCCCCATAAGCAAACCCACACATGGCTGTACCTGTCAATAAAATAACCCAGAAAGGTGCAGGAGACCGGAACGCACCACTGGGGCGTATTAAAGGATTCATCTTTTATAAACACATCTTCACATCATCAATCATTAATTTTGGGCTCCTTCAGAGAAGAAAAAAAACACCAAGCGGCAGCCTGTGCAGGGAGCCCCCTGCAGTGAGCCAGTGCTTCTAGGGGCCTCCAGGGGCCCGCACTGCCTGGCCTGGATGGAGTCACGGATGGGGGGCCTTATAGAGCGAGCTGGAGCCCCTCCTCCAGGCAGCCATTAAGGGCCACAGTACAGCGACCACAGACACGCACCCGGCGTCCGCTTAGCTGATCGCGGCGTTCTGGGCCCCTCCCATGAGAACGGTATAGGCTCTGAGAGAGATCTCCACAGCGGGTCATGTGACCGCTTGAGGGCACACCTCCCTGGCCCCAGACAGACACACTCGCCCTCGGACTAACGGCACGAGGCCGTTAAAGAAGTAAGGAGGCAACAGAAGCCATAAACGGAGACATGTAGCCACAGGATGTGGGCTGCGGGGGTGGGGCGTGGCCCTCGTCAGCGAGTAATTAACGCACCTGTGGATACCGAGGTGCATTTCCGCCTCTCTCACAGAGCATCACCGCGTAAAACCAGGAATACCAATCAGCTGTTAATTTAAACATCACGGTCTGGTCTCGGAGGTCCACGCCGGCACCACGCCGGCACCACGCCGGCACCACGCCGGCACCACGCCGGCACCACGCCGGCACCACGCCGTACACATTAACGACGACACATTCATCTAATCGCCAAACAGGAAATTCAAGATCAAACTTAAAGGACGAGGAAAAAGTCAATAATAATGTTTACAGCCCCTGCGTTTTTAAGAGCGAGAATGCTCCACGGACCCAACAACGGGGAATAGAGCTGGCGCTGGCGAGCCTCCCCCCCCCCCGGACCTACCTGCCGTTGTCGCGGCCCACGCCCCAGACGCGGATGCTGGCGATGAGCTGGGCATGCAGGGTGCTGCGGTCCAAGGGGTCCACCAGGTTCAGCAAGTTGTTCTCCAGGGTCAAGTACATGTCCTTACCCTGAGGAAGAGAGACGCTGAGGCTGAGGAGGACAGAAATACGGCATGGGGGGGGGGGGGGCTCGCTACAGCACCTCCCCATGTACATGTGATGTAACTCCATCAGCGCGAGCGGATCTTCTCCGTTCAGCACCGGACGCCCCCCCTGCCCTGACCGGCCCTGTCACGTCCAGTAACAACTTCTACGAAGAGCTTTACCGACTTCTGTCAAAGGTCATTTAGGGTGATGAATAAAACACAATCTGACAGGAATCCCAGGCTCAGTGAATTAAAGATGTCCTGTCCCTCTCATTAAGAATTAGCTGATTTGAGTTTGATATATTATTCAGAGACATGGGGACGAGCTCTACTGTCATATCTTATTAAACAGCAGATCACGGTGACACAGGGCTGGCTGAACATTCTCATCCGGCTTTCCCCCCTACAAAGGACCTCCAAGGACCAGACAGTCTGTCCTGTCACAGCCTACTGCGGTTTGACCGCTTCTTCCCCGAAAGCATTGCTCAGAAAGGTCACAGGTTTCAGAGATGCCAGCCACAGCATCTGTTGAACTTAATGCCACCAACTTTTCTGGCCTTGTTCCCCAAGTCAGAATAGCACACCCGGAGTGGAACTGACGTCTCACAATAACCCACAATGCACCTCTATCGTCCGCTGTATTAAGCACCGACTGCTATACAGAATGTAATTTCCATGTTTATCTTATCTTTGTTTGATCTTACCAACCTGAGACTCATCAGGCATCAGAACCGGCCATTTATTATGCAGGGCGTAGAAGCTCTTTGTATAATAGCACAGTTTAGTCTACGCTCCAGTGTGACCCAAGCACCCTGAAAAAGCCCCCTCTCTCCGGACGCCTGCTCACCTCCCCCCAGATGCCCACGGTGTCCCGAATGTCATTCTTGCAGTAGGACAGCTGCCGGATGCAGTTGTTGACGGCCACGCTGCTCTTGCCCGGCGCCAGATCGTCTTCGGCCATCTCCACCCAGCCCAGGGAGCGCACAGCGAAGCACTGTGGGGGAGAGCGGCAGTGATCAGCGTTTAGGCCGCGGTGCTGCACTCTGACGAGGCAGGGGCGTATATAGGGGCGGGGCCACTGGCCTGAACTGAAAGCTGATTGGCCCCCACCGTGCCCTTTTCCCTGTCACTCATCGAATCAAAACATATCATTGGCTAATAAGACTGGATACAAGCTCGTAATCGGCTACCACCCTGTCGCCTTTGTCACAGCGCATGGCAAGACCGCTCACTGGGTACTGGAGCGCTTTGGTGCTAGAACCACGTATGAGCGGCCCCACCTGCTGGTGGCAACTGGTGTAGCGGGTGCAGGGTTATACGCCGTCATAAACCAATCACAGACACCATGTCATCATGACAAAGATTTTATCAGCGGAACTTAGTAGATTTTTGGGATACTGGCAACAAGTGGATTCAACTAAAGCCATAAAGCAGGGAGCAGAGTGTGGCTCAGTCCCCATGAACGGGTGGATGTAGGTTTGAATCCTAGGGTCAGAGTGATGCCAACATTGGTCTCCTGAGCAAAGTCCTTAACCCCAGTTGCTGCACCGCCTGGCTGATGCTGACTATTTTTTCCCCACCTAACTACCCGTATGTGAGATAAGTGACCCGGTTTGAAATACTGGTGCTGTGCACAGACAAACTGCGGCTCAGGTCCCATCCAACCTTAGTCATGCCCCCCCACCCCCACACAATTGCTTTTATTATGCATTTTCTGTTTTTTCACTATTATTATTTCATTATGTATTTTATTTGTTATATTACTATATTTTTTTTGTACAGCACTTTCTCGGCTGCTGGTTACCAGAGCTTCCAGTCTATGCAAGTATACCAATATATGGAAGTGTCAGTGTTTCCTAACTTCCCCTAAAAGCACATTTTTAATTTTTAAAGTGGGGAGGGGAAGAATGGCAAATTAAGGGCCAAGCTTGAGTTGGATCGTGCTGTAGATACTACAAGAAGTGCGGGGCTTGGAGTCAGAGCGGGGGTCACTCCCTGGTCCCAGGAAGCTCTGTGCACAGCGCCCTGGGCTTTAATCCACGGGCCTGGAGCCGTAACCCTCGGCTCAGAGGTCCTTTATCCTCTGACTAAATTATAGCGGTATGAAATTTATGACCTCCAGAGCAGCCCGCCGTAAGAAATGACCCAGGAGGGGTTAGGGAGGCCCCAGGAAAACAGGAATGATTCACAGCTTGCGTGATTAATAAAAGAGATTATTAAAAGGTGCTGGCAGCGTGTCAGGAGCAGGGCCCCCGTCCGAAGCCGGGGTAGGGGGTCGAGTCGCCAACTGAGCTGTTAACCAAGTTATTTTTCACGGCGATAAGTGATGTGAGGTGACTGATTAATGAGATTATATCTTCATTCAGTGGCCACAGGGAGAAGACTGCAACTGCAAAACCAAAGCTAACGTGCTATAAAAATATTAAAAATGTAGATTTTAAAAGGTCAAGAAATTATTAATCATTAAATACATTGAGAGAGTCTGACTAACAGCACACTATAATAACTTTTAGTGCCTCGTTTCCTGAATGATGTATCCAAACCAGACTGGCCCTTCGGTTGGTTAACACAGCGAACCATGTTTTAACATCCTAACACCCTAACAGCCTTCCAACGCCACTTCCAAATTCATCCCCAGTGCTGTTCTTGGGCACGGCCTCCAACCATCCAATTGTGGGCTAAATTAGTTGACCGTCAGACCCTATTATTGACTTATGAATTAAATAAGGTTTTGGTAAAAAAAGATTACAAAACCTAGGTTATGTTTTAGCAGGGGGTAATATCTTACAAACTGCTACCCTGGGGGGAATTAATGACGAAATACAGAGCAGGTTTGGTCAATAATCAGATCTGGGGCTCTGTGTTACAGCATAACACACAAAGGAAAAAAAAAACTTCTAACACTCATCTGGGTTGAATTATGGAAGATAAGTAAGGTAATGCACTGCTGGCCCCTCACTGGTAACGATGGAGCAGGACAGACTCCCACAATGCACTGCTGGCCCCTCACTGGTAATGATGGAGCAGGACAGACTCCCACAATGCACTGCTGGCCCCTCACTGGTAACGATGGAGCAGGACAGACTCCCACAATGCACTGCTGGCCCCTCACTGGTAAC